AGCGGGGGGTGAGGAGGTAGGGGGTAACGTGGGGATAAGGACACATATGTAATATCTTAATCAATAAAAAATATATTTAAAAAAAAGAAGAAAAAAAAGAATCCCCCTTATAGACCATCCATTCACACTAGATACATAGTTGTAAGACAATACCAAATTACAACTGTAAAACATCACCCTCATATGGGCACTATAAAAAAGTAGTTAGCCCAGCTGGCTGGTTTGGCTCAGTGGATAGAGCATCGGTCTGCAGACTGAAGGGTCCCAGGTTTGGTTCCCAAGGGCACATGCTGGGATTTCGGGCTCAATTCCCCCCAGTAGGGGGCATGCACAAGGCAGTCGACCAACGATTCTCTCTCATCATTGATGTTTCTATCTCTCTCCCTCTCCCTTCCTCTCTGAAATCAATAAAAATATATTTGTAAAAAGTAAAATAATAATAATAATAATAAATAAATAACAGTAGCTAAACAAGAAAAGGAATCATCAAAATAACTTTAAAGAGAAAACAATATACATGTTCTGAGAGATTGTGGATGTCCAAAACCCAGCTGCTGTGGAAACGGAAGCAAACCTCAGGTGACCCTGGATTCTTGAGCTCTTACCATAATTCCCTCCTCCTTCCTGCGGGGCCTAATGACCCATGGGATCCCCTGATTCTTCTAGGTCTCTGTGGGCTGTGGGTGGAGCAACAGGAGCAACAGGGCCACTTGGGACAGGCTGGACCTTGGACTCGACCTTGGCCAGCATTTGCCTGTTGCGATCATTTTCTTTCCTCACCTCCATGCGCTTTCTCTCCACCCCATGGCTGTGTTCCAGCTTTCTTAAGCCCTTTCGCATGGAAGACGGTCTCCTTTGCCTTGGTAAGAAGTGCTTCTCTCCAGTTCCTTGCCCAGGTCTTCCGCCATCTTCCTGTAGGTTGCAAATCTGATATGCCGAGTGCACGTATCTACAGACACAGTGAGAAGTTTCTTCTCCGTTTCTAAGCAGCTCGTTTCCTCCTCGGTTTTTTCTGAAGTTGTGTTAAGTGATCTTCATATGACTCGGGCAGAATTTGGAGCTTCAGCTTCTGCTGCTGAGTCTCACTTTCTAGGTTTGAACTTTCATGCTGCAAAGATGCTTCCTCAAGTTGGAGATTGGTTATCTGTCCTGAGAGCTCTTCCTTCACTTGCTTTTCTTCCCACAATTGCCTGGCTATTTCATGATGTTCTTCTTCAGGACTTTGAGGGGACACATTGAAGACGGCATTATCAGGGACACCCTTCAGGTCAACGTGCGACCGAAGGACGGGGTGATCACAGTTTTCTGCTTCCCTGTTTTGTTTGACCTGGCACTTCATGTGACTTAGGTGATCTCAGGTGAAGGGATGGTCGGTAGCAGTTTTTCAGCCTCTGATATTAATTGGCTGATTTTATCCTTCAGGACCTGCTCTGTTTCTGTGTTTGGCTCCAGCCTGTCTTTCTCCTGCTCCTTTTCCTAGACTCACTTACTCCACCTCATATTAGTGGAGCAGTTGTGGACTTTCTGAAAAATGAATGTTTTCATTAAATAATTTTTTATTTTCTTCCAAAGTTGCTCTCCATGGATTTCTGATGTGTTTGAGATGGGTTTTCATGTCAGCTGGGGAAGTTAGGAGACTGGCTCCTCCATACATTTGCAGAGAGTCGACCTTGTCCTGAAGCGACAATCTGCTCAGGTCTGTGTTCAGTGCCAACAAGCACAAGGCCTGGCCTCCACCGCAGGCAGCCTGAGGGAGTCCTCGGCATGTGTCACTGGTTCAATATTCTTACGACATCTCCCACAGACTTCATTGGGGCAGAACACCTTTAGCCTAGTGCCCTCACATTCCTAAAGTGTGCCATCTCCTCACTATCAAAGACACCCACACACAGCACAGACCAGGATCTCCCAGGGAAAGTACGGAGACCTGGGACGTGTCTCAAGCTCTCAGAAATCTCCAGCATCGCACAGGTGCTCCGGGACCCTCTGGAAGGTGGATGTGGTGGCGGACAGCAGGTTTCCGTGGCTGGTCGGGCTCACAGCTCTGCCTCCAAGTGCCAGTGTCCTGTGGGCTACAATTGGCCACTCAGAACCTTCCAGTGTTCTGTCACTAAGGTAAACAGATACCCAGCCTACATTTGGGTTCACCCTTTGTGTTTCATAGCTCTGTGAGCTTTGACAAATGAATAATGTCATGTATCCATGTTACATTGTCATTCAGAATAGTGTCACAGCCCTCAGAGTCCCCAGTGCCCCATCGACTCATTCCCTCCCTCTTTCCTTTTGAACCTCTGGAAACCATTGATGGCTTTCCTTGTTCTGAAGTCTGATCTCTCTGATATTAATATATCTACTCTTGCTCGCTTTCTTTTTTTTTAATTTTTCAATTACAGTTAATTTTCAATAATATTTTATATTAATTTCAGGTGTGTAATCCTGAATTCTTAGCCTATATTTATTTGTTCGTGTCTATCTCCCCCAAAAGAACGCAAGCATCTTACTGGCAAAGACTTTTCCTCCTTGTTCATTCTAAGCATCTAGAACAAGTGCTCAATAAATACTTGCTGAATGAATGTAGCAAGAATAAATGCACAAACTTCAGGAGGGAGTAAGAGATGAGATGTAGAAAGGTAGGCAAGCTGGCAGAGGCTCAGGTAACGAGTGTTATTTAAATAAATTCAAAGCTGTGAAGTACTTCCAGGAGCAGAGTAAGCAATAAAAATGGACAGACACAAAGGAAGGTGAGGCAGAAGACTCAGAAGGGCCTCTGTTGGAAGGAAATTTCTGCAATGATGAAATATTCTCTATTTCTGCTATCCTAAAACAATAGCCACTGGCCACATGCAACTACTGAGCACTTAAAATGTGGCTGGTGGGACTGAGGAACTGAATATTAATTTTCTTTCATTTTAATTTGCATTAAATAGTCACATGTGGCCAGTGGGTATGGTATTACACAGTGAAGTTCTAGAACCTGAAGAATCCCTTCCTCCCAGTGTAACTTTAGGATAACAATACATACCTCACATTGTGAATTGTTGAAAAGATTAATGCAATAAAAAGCCTTGTTAAATGTCTAAAACAGAGGTGGACCTCAAAAAATTATAGCTGCTATTATTACAGCATTGCAAATTAAAGTACATGCCATTTAAATTTGGCTCTAAAGTGCTGGAAACAGGCTTTTAATAATTGTTATCATAATTTTTTGTTTGCTAGAGTTAGTGGGTAACCAATGTGTAGGTCTGTCTATATTTGAGCTCATAAACTAAAAATAGCAAACAACCATTTTGGGATCTCAGGAAGGCCTTTTCAGTGATAAATGACTATTCCAAGTGGATCCATTTGCTGATCCTTCTAATGAGCTAATTAGTTTTAACAACAGCTAATTTAACATTTGCAAAAACTGGATTTGTAACATTACTGTCTTATTTTCAAACTTTGTCTTCTGCAACTTCCCAAATGCTTTGGATAAGAGTAATGTTAGCTTTAATACTTACTATTAAAATAAAGGGAAAAGTATTTTATTACTGGAAACATTATGTTGAACTTAAATTGATTTAGACATGATATTTTTCCTTGTCAAAGGCTCACCATACTTTCTTCCATACTGAATCCAGAATATAAAATTAACACAGATATGTAGTATAAGCAGACCATTATAATGAACCCGTAGGAATAACCTAATCTAATAATAAAATTACACATTTGTTCAAGATAAGCATGGGCATATGTTTAGGTGAAGAGAATGTGCAGTCCTTAGCAGCAGAGGTGGACATAGCATCCCACAGACCCTGCCTAAGTGCTGGTGGAGACTCAGCTTGAATGAGGGCTTAAAGGTACTGAGAAAAGTTGACATTCTTATTAAAGAGGCCAATTAATCTGCATCACTTGGAAACCACTTCACCTTACTTGAAACAGTGCCCTGGGACATAATATAAATGAGATTGGAGTGGAAAGGGAATGGAAATTCACTTTTCTAGGAGGAAGCCTTCCCAAACTGCCCTCCTGGCTTTGCTGTGTGAAATGCAGATCCTTTCTGGGCCAACCCCACCGTGAAGCTGAGGTAGCAGAGCAGGAAGAGGGTGAAGACCCTAAATACTAAGATGAGATGCTGTGAAGACTTACCTATGGGCATCACTAAGAAGAAAGGCAGCCAGCAGAGGACGAAGCAGCCGACCACGATCCCCAGTGTTTTGGCGGCTTTCTTCTCCCGAGAAAACTTGAGGAGTCTCACAGAGAAGTGCGCTTTGTTCCTGGCGCTGGGCATCCCCCTGCCTCCTACCTGGGCATTTTTCCGATGGATGCGGAGCGTCACCTGCTCCGAGTCCGACTTGTCAGTCTTGAGGCCCGCCTTGAGGCCCCGGCTCTCCCTCCGGGCCACCACGTAGACCCGGCAGTACATGACCAGGATGATGGCGAGCGGCACGTAGAAGGAACCCAGCGCCGAGAAGAGCACGTAGCCGGGCTCCTCGGTGATCTGGCAGATGGTCTCGTCCTCCGGGGCCGGCTGCCTCCAGCCGAACAGAGGCCCCACGGAGATGACGAGGGACAGCGCCCAGACACAGAGCAGAGCCAGGAGTCCCCTCTTCTGGGTGACGATGGTGGGGTAGCGCAGCGGGTAGCTCACGCCAATGTAGCGGTCAATGGAGATGATGCAGAGCCCCAGGATGGACGCGGTGCAGCACAGGACGTCCACCGCCGCCCAGATGCTGCAGAAGACTCTGCCGAAGGCCCAGTAGCCCAGGATTTCGAAGATAGCGGAGAAGGGCAGCACGGTAGACGTGAGCAGAAGGTCGGCCACCGCCAGGTTGACGATGTAGTAGTGCGTGACCGAGTGCAGGTGCCGGTGGCAGGCCACGGAGAGGATCACGAGTATGTTCCCCAGGACCCCGAAAATGATGAGGCTCCCTAAGATCACCCCGAGCAGAATGGCCTTGGAAATGTTCACCGGAGCCGGCGGGTGAGTGCAGTTGGAGCTGTCTGAGGCATTTCCAGAGAGAAACACCATGGTCCTAGCCGGCCGGCCTGGCGAGGTCCGGCTCTCCACGGCCACCCCCGGGCGGGGGCGGGAGCGGAGGCGGGATCGAGGGAGCAGGGAGTCAAAAGGTCTGGGCGTGGGGGAGCCTTGCCCGCGGGGGTTAAAACTCTCGGAAGGCCACGCCAAGGGGCAGGGCATGAAAGGCGACATGGCGGGGCGAGCGGGGTGTCCGCGGACGCCCTCCACCCGCCGCTTTGGACCCAGACCCCCACTCCCTATCTACAGGAGGCTTGGCGCCACGCTCGAGGAGTCAAGTTGCAAAATGCCGCCCCGGGATTATGCGGGTCCTCTATTCAGCTCTGTCTGATGCGTCCTGATGAGAAGATTCAGCATTCTGCACATCAGTTGGGATTCTCAAATCCAGCGCCAGTCTCCCCCACAACCCACCAGCAAGTAGCGGTCTGCCGTGGACTCTGAAAGGTGGGGACCTTTGACATCTGGACCCTGCTGCGGCCCGCCGTTACCCGCTGTGTGGCTGGCCCGCCGTAGATCCAGCTTCTAGGCGCGCGGGCGGGGGACGTGGATGCGAACTGTTCGCCAAGACCCAGGGTCGTCAGCCGGCGTCTTCCTGAAAGAGCGCGAAGAGAAAGGCGGGGTGTCAGCCAGGCGCACGGGGGTCGGGGTCGAGGTCACGGGGGATCGAGGTCGTGCGGGGCTCCACGAGGAGGACCCGGCGGGGAGCCCGGCTGACTCTGCGGTAGGCGCCACTGCAGCTGGCGCGTGTGTCTCACCAAACTGAGCGAGTGGAACAGAGGATCTACCCGGCTGCCATCTGAACAGGTCGCTTCGCAGCCACCTGGAGGGGCGGGCGGGGAGAGGGACCCGCGTCCTGGGGACCGCAGTGCCGCGCGCGCGCTCGTGCCGGAGGAATTCACACTTGGGCGTGCGGAGCGCGTGGATTTGTCCACCAGCCGAGTTGGCCTGAGAGTCAGGTCCCCAGGGCTGAACGCGACCGAGGTCAGTCCAGGATTCCTTTCCAATCTACAGGGTCAGAGGTCCCGGAGGACTCGAGCCTCGAGCCACACCCAGGTGGGCTGCTGGGGTCCAGTGGGGAGGTTTGAGGGGACAGGGGGAGCTTCCGTCTGCCGAGGAGGCTTTGCAACTGGCAGTCACTGCGAAGGTTTAGGCGTGAAAATCCAGCCCGCACACCAGTGGACAGAGGATGTCCTGGATATTCTGGACGGGTTGGGGGAGGGGCAGGGTCAGTGCAGGAAACCAAGGTTCCCACAGCTGCAAGCCGACCGCAGGAACCAGGCAGGAGTGAGAGGAGTGGGGACCCATCTTGGCTTCTAAGGATTCTGGGATTGCGCGCTGAGGCAGGACCCCAGACACAGGCTACTGTGAAATCCCAAGTTCAAGAGCTCACAGGTGGCAATAAAAACAAGCAATAGCAGAAACCCTTTCCCCGCATACACACCTCGGGGTACTAAATACGAGGTTTAAAACACACTTATTAGCTAAGAGATAACTTCCCAGACTATAGAAGGAAAACAGTGTGGGATGGGGATACAGGTCAGAGCAGGTGGAAAATACCAGAGGCACTTGGGAAAGTGGGGGATCCGCTCACGCGGGGGCCAGGCCATTTGCCCTCACCCACCCGGCCCAGCCGGACGCCCGCGCCCCGCTCCCTCCCTCACTCACCTGGAGCCCACGCGCGGAGCCACCTCCGGCGCTGCCGGAGCTGCCGGGATCCCTGTCCCAGGAGCAGCCCTGCCGCCTCCTCTCTAGGGGAGAGGGCACCGGCTCTTCCAGGAGCCAATTCCCAGTCCTGTCTCACTCGCTGACTCACCCCTCCACCGCTAGTGTCTTCAAGCGCCTGACTCGCTATCCTTTACTTGGGGACTTTACAATAAAGAGTGAAAATAGCAAAGAAAAGAAAATGCAGCTGCTCAATAACTGCACCTTCACCCTTTTAATATTCAGCTCCCAGAAATCAGCCAAGAGCTGGCAAGGAACTTTGCAGGTCTCGCTGACGTAACAAGGCAGTAGCCCCAGCTAGTAGCGATCTCCTGCGGTTACCGGTACTCCGCAGCCCGGGCACATGCGCAAAGCCGTGTTTTTTTAAATCTTGCCTGGAGTGGCTAGGGTTCTCGCTTTGGGTGATGAGGACACAATGCAATATACAGATGATGTATTATAATATTGTACACTTGAAACATACGATTTGATGAACACTTGGATTAAGTTCTGTTAAAATCAGGAAGAAGCAAGTAGTTCTGCCAAATATGCAAGTAAATTGTATTATCTGAAGATGCAAGTAAAATCAGATAAAATTAAATACGTCTGTTTTAAGATGCAAGTAAAATCAGATAAAATTAAATAAATCTGTAATAAAATTCTAATTCCAGGAAGATAAAGTGAGCATATCTATAGATTTTTAAAAACAGTATAGTCTGGCAGTGTGGCTCAGCGATTGAGCATGGAACCATGGGCCAGGAAGTCAAGGTTGGATTTCCAGTCAGGTCACACGCTCCCGGGGTTGTGGGCTTCACCCCAGTAGGCAGCGTGCAGGAGGCAGCCTATCAATGATACTCTCATCATTGATGTTTCTATCTCTCTCTCCCTCGCCCTTCCTCTCTGAAATCAATGAAAACATATTTAAAAATAAAAAGCAGTATAGTTTCACTGTAGTTTCTTACATAGTTTAGTGTTTTTGAAGTGCCACATAATTTTTCTCCAGTGTTCATAAGAAAATATATCCTTTAAAGGAGAATTACTTCCCGTTAATTCTCTTTGATTTATTAATAGCTGGAGCATGAAAAGCTGACATCACCAGACTTGTTTACTTTTTTCTGGTAAATTCGATGTTCTGCTGACCTTACAACTGAATAAAGCTATATATGTTTTGGAACATTGGAAAAATGCTAACGTTTTCTGCATTCTGATTCCCACCTCTTTCATTGTCATCTTTCATTTTCATCTATTCAGATAAGACACACTGTTTTCAAAATATTTACTAGGTTCCCTTAAACCTATAACAAATAGATAACTTTGTTATGCACTTGAATGCCTTCCCTTGAACAGAGGTTTATTAATATTATTACCTTTTCCAAGGGAGATATTTGGAAGTCTCCCTCTTTTTTAGCAATATACCTCAAAATATCCTGGAGGAATGCCCATGGGAGGATCAGGGGGCTCTGCTTCATTGAAAAACCTAATATTTAGATTTAATATTATTTTATTTGACTGTAATATTATTTTTAAACATATACCCAAATGGCTAGGCCGTCCATAAACTGAACTTTGTATTGTGCAGGAAGTACACTGGGTGAGGAGACAGTAAACCCGGTTCACTCTAATTACCACATCACTTGCCATCTTTCTGTGATTCAGTCCCCTCTGTTGGCGAAGGCTGGACTACAATGCTGTGTGACTCTTACATTTTTTCATCAAATGTGCATATAATGTTTATTGTTCAGAAACCTCATCCATCAGAGGGATATATTATTGTTCAGTTTCATATTCATTAGCCTTACACCATGCATTTGCATGCTCTATTAATATCTGTTCCCTGGCACACAAGGGAAACAGTGTTATCGACAAGAAAAGCGACTGAAAATTGCTCAGCTCTGCAAGATCAGTATGTACAAAAGTCTTTGGAACTCCCAGTCCCCATCCCCAAATGAACAAGCATACTCACAAATCCTCTCCTTCCACGGCAACTAACTAGCGAGTGCCAAGACTGAAAAGAGTGGCCCCTTAATTCTAGCTGATACTAGTATGCTACCAGGCAGGTCTTTTAAATTAGTTCTCAGCCTATAAACATCAATCTTTGAGAAATTAACTCTTAGAGCCATTTTTTCCCCCTCAATAATCATAGACCCACAAACAGGAAACTATCCATTTATTGGGGATTCTTTAGAGAATAGTTGAGGGGAAAAAAAAAAAAAAAAGCAAACGAAAACCACATTTAAAATAAAGCAAGGAGGCCAGAGGGGGAGCTCTCATGCCCCACCATCATTGCCAAGCACAACAGGGAGAACTCTATTTTTTATTTGTTTTTTTGTTAAACCTCAACTAAGGATATTTTTTCATTGATTTTTTAAAGAGAGTGGAAGAGAGGGGAGAACAGAGAGAGAAACATCGATGTGAGAGGGACACATTGATTGGTTGCCTCCCACAAGTGCCCCAACCAGGGCCAGGGATCAAGCTTGCAACCAAAGCACATGTCTTTGATGGTGTTACAGAAGACCAGAGAAGAACCAAGCAACACTTAGAGAGATGGAGTTACATTTATTATTATTACGTGCGGGCCCAGAGAAAAATGCTCTAGAATTGTGGGCGAAGTCACACAGGAAGTTTCCTGTATTTATACCTTTTTACCCTTTTTGTCTCCCAAATATGGGGTTTTATGGTCCCCTTTGCAAGTTCTTAAAGAGCCCCTGTGTGCTGGGGCTTTGAGACCTCAACCAAAGGCTTGGCCTGGTGCCAGCACTGATAACTTCATCTGGGGAAGGTTTAGTGGCCTCAGAAATGGGAGTAATCTTATTTTCCTTATTATTTAAGCAAGCAAGCATTTACAGAAGCCCAAATAGCAGGGTTAAAATTTCAAGCAGCAGTTTTTATATAAGATGGATGCTTCAATGAGAATAGAACCCTGGACCTTCAGTCCACAGGCCTATACTCTATCCACTGAGCCAAATTGGATAGGGTAGGGAAAACCCTTCGTAATAGCCCTCCTAACTTCTTCCTCTCCCCATAAAAGTTTCCTCTCTTTTGTTTTAGTGGATTTTCACATGGCCTGCCATGGTTGCATGTTCTGGACTGCAATTCATTGTTGTTCCAGAATTAACCCATTTGCTGGAGAAATATCTGGCTGACTTTTTGTTTTCAACAGTTGACATGGATGTTCCAGAAAATGTTGAGTTAGACCCAGGGGGAGGTGGAGTAAAGAAAGAGTGGGCTGTGGAATCATAAAGATGCTCACCCTGACATCCTATAAGACCAGGGTAAAACTCAGCTTCCCTGAACCTTGGTTTCATAATTTTTAAAGGGAGACAATAAAAACCCCCAGGATGGTTATTAGGACTGAGTGAGATTATATCGTGTGAAGCTTATTAAAACTCTTGTTATAAATATTAGCCCTTTCCCTTTCTGCTCATTTTGTGTGCTACTTTAAACACACTTCTAATCCAGAGTGGTTCAAATTCCACACCTGACATAAGCACAATGTATTCAGTTGGAGAAATGTGCAAAATGACCTGAGAATTACGTTTGGAGTGGGTGAGCTGGCCCTGGCCACTGCCTACTACTCCTTTTCTCCCTACTCCCCCTTGTCCCACATCTTGAAGGGCCATGCCTATATGTGTGAACACTGCAGTCTGGTCATCCTGGCAGCTGCCTTTTGGCCTTTGGCCTGCAGGTGCACATTCTATGATGTGGTCTGCCCTAAGAAGGGAGGGGAGAGACAGAGAGAGAGAGAAACATTGATGAGCCCAGGAAAAAAGTCTAAAGGTCTTGAAAGTTGTGTTTTGTTTTGTTTTGTTTTTCAGTTCTTTAACAGATTTTATTTCTTTTGAGAAAGGAATGGATTTTGAGGAGGAAAAACAAGGGGCAGAGAGATATGGAATAGAAAATAAATACAAATGTAAGCTGTTTTGCTAATTGTTTTACAATCTCAACAAATGAGTACAGAGAATGCCTTGTAGAAAATAACACAATAAAGGTTCAAGATCAAGCTGTTCCTTTAGGCAAGGCTGAAGATTTCAGTCTCCGGTGTTTGGAATTTGGGCTGCAATACTTATTTTTGGATGGGTCACTGGGTTTGTGGTATAGTACATGCCTTTAACCAGATCTGAACAGAAGAATGGCCTCTTGGTCCAGGTAGAAGTAGATGAAGGGTTTGGTTTCATGTGTCACATAACCACTGAAATTTCTCCCCATGGTGCAGTGCCAGGTGAGATTGTACTTTTTGTCAAACTCCTTGATATGGGCCACTTTTGATATTTATGTTATATTTCTCCAACTCCTGAGTAGCACATTCCATGGAGTTCTGTTGCATATCTGCAGATTGGCTTTTTTGTTGTTAATCCTCACCCGAGGATATTTTTTTCCAATGATTTTTTTAGAGAAATTGGAAGGAAGGGGAGAGAGAGAGAGAGAGAGAGAGAAAGAACCATTGATATGGGAGAGACACATTGATCAGCTGCCTCCTGTATGCTTAAACATTGATGTGAGAGAGGCACATTGATTGGTTGCCTCCGCCTGTGCCCAGACCTGGCCTGGGATGGAGCCTGCAACCAAGGTACATGCCTCGACTGGAATTGAACCTGGGACCCTTCAGTCCAAGAGGCAATGCTCTATGCACTGAGCCAAATAGGCTAGAGCTGTGTTGACATTTTTTTATCATGGTACATAGTTACAGTGGAGAAGGGCTGGCCAACTGCTACAGCCTCCTAGGGGAGGTGCTGGGAAGGCCCAGACCCAGTGGGAGAAGCCATTTCTACAGAAGCCCTTGCACATCTCACCCTGAAAAGCATTTGTGCGGCCATTTAGGGTAGACAATTCTGGGTCCCAGATCATGACCTAGAAGAGGGAGAGTGGACTCCAGGCAGGGATAAACACCTTAATTTTTTGGTCCTGTGGACTCTGCCCATTGGAAAGAGCCATGGTCAGAGGGAGTCATAACTGGGCTCTCTAAAGGCCAAAACCCAAGACAGGGGTCCTCTTGCCTGGACCTAAGGGCACTACTCTTTAGACTTGCGGTATAGTAGAAGGTGAGAAATCCACTGCAGGGGACCTCTGTGAAGGCTCAGGGGATGATATTGTTTGATTTAGGACTTACAGGATAAGCAGAATTCAGATTGAAAGACAAAAGTGAAGAAGGCAAATCAGCAACAGCTGTACAATAGAGTCTTGTGCGTGCGTGCATGTGTGTACCATTTTAATTGGAGAAGGAAGGCTTGTAATAATCATACACTCAATGCCTTCGATTGGCAAGACTGTGATTAGTGAGAAAGTCAGCAAGTGTAGGAGGCTTTGAGGAAAAATTACTCAGAATCAGTTAATTATTATCTTAGAAGGCAATACACAATGGAATTAGGAGCTGATTTATGGGACTTATAATGACAGAGTAGGGGGCTTAGCATTAATATCCACCAGAAGACCTGGCTTTTCAACAAATTCTCATAGGGCTTAAAAAGTTCAAGAGGGAGAAAAATGAAAACATGGCTCAGGACGATATTGATGCAGTCTCATCACAATTCTCCAAACAACCGTTGTGTTCTAATTCTTTATGAGAAAACTGCTCAGTGCACAGACACGGCTGAAGGAAGTCTTGGATGAGATAATTCTGTCTTCAGCATTATTCTTCCTGCTCTTTCTGACCTCCCTGAGAAAATAACTTGCACCAAATCTCAGGAGTTGTGGCATTCCACTCTTACAATGTACATTATGGTGGGAATGTGGGTTCAAGTCATCTTATAAGTGGAT